GGGGGGGGGGGGGAGCCTGCGCGGAGCAGGAATCCTGCCCCGGCTCCAGCAAACTGGCCTTTGCTCTGTGCTGGGTGGTTTTCTGTGGAATGACATCCGCAGGTCGTGACTCTGAGGGCTGGGCTGTTTCCTGCTGGATGGGACCCTTGAGTATGGTCTAGACTAAGTTTGGACGGGACTAAGTATGGTCTAGGCCACGCTGTAACTCACTGCCCTGTCCCTGCAGTCACTTGGTTGGCTCTGCTGGATAAATGACTTGGAATTTTCATCTGCTAACGATAAAAGCACCTGGGAAGAGGCTTGCAGGGTGGACCCCGGGCCTGCGGGGCTGCTTCCCTCCCACACGCGTGAGCACCAGCGTTGCTGTTTCTTGCAACTAGAGACAGCCCCGATGCGTTTGTGATAAATTCCCATTTCTTTTGAGGAGTCCCTGGAGTGGAATGGGCTCTTACAGACATGTCGCAGTCACCCCGGACATGAATGCCTTGTGGAGGCGACTTTACACCTGGGTGGTGCTGGGGGAGAATGCGGAGAACTGAAGGAGGCAGTGCCACCTACCTTCACCAGCATGACGTCGTTGGACTCGGGCTTTGATGCAAATCCTGGGGACGGTATGAACCTCACGATCCTGAACGTTTGTTTGGAGGCCTCCTTCTTTGCGAGAGAGTGTGCTCCTAAAACCACTTTGAAAGACGAGGCTTTGGTAAAACTAAAAAACCAAGAGAACAGAAGCAACGAAATGATTCCCAAGTGCCCCAGTGGGGAGGCAAGGCCGTGGAGACGTCAGATCCGTGCAGGGACAAGGCCGCCACGGCGCCCGGTCCAGGATCAGGTGGTGCGACAGGGCTCGGTGGCCCGAGCGTGAATGGGTATCAAGGGGCGGCTGACCCACCTCCAACCCGCCCCTCCAGCCCCCGGCGAGGCAGATTCTGGGGGCTTGTTCCCTCTGCGGGAAACCCAGTGAAATCCTAATTCACTAACGTCAAGTGTACGACAAAACCACGTTAGTTTATATAAAACAAAAGAAATTCTATTTCTCAGGTTCGTGGGTTGAAATGGATACAAACCATTAAGTTTTCCATTCATTGAGATAAAATGTACATAACATAAAATTCTCAGTTCTGACCATTTTAAACGTACAGTCTGCGGCACGGAGTTTATACGGTTCGTCTGTCGCCACCATCCGTCTCCAGGACGTTTTCGCCGTCCCTGGGCTAAGTGTAGGAATAACTGAAGGCCACCCCGGCCGCGGGAGAAGGAAGGCCCAGTGCGGGGCTGTCAGATACGCTCCCACCTCCTGGCCCCTCGGAAAGACGATTTGGACAAGAAAGAAAACTGTCCTCAAGGTGGGACATCACTGCTGATTTGAAATGAGGACACTGTAGGGTCAGCAGGTGGACAAGCAGAGGGCGTGAGCTGGGGAGGAAACAACAGCTTTGCTTTGTTTCGTTCGTGTCTCCAGCCACGGGGGGTTCCAGCACCAGCCTTTCAGCAGAGCCACCGTGGGTCTGATTTACTGTACGTTGGAGGAAATTACATTCACATCTAGTTATGAAAATGGAAACGGGATTTTGGAGAACCCGACGGCACCTCTGGGCCATGTGCCCACGACAAACCCGTCCCGTCAGCCTGCGACCTCAGGAAGCCACCACACGTCCTCTCTTGGAGCCAGGAGGGTTATAGGAAGAATTATATTTGCTTGTTGACATATAAATATTCACTGTCACTTGAAAAGGGGGTCGAGGCAGATTACAAAAAAAACCACCCCACCAGACATACAGGTGACTAAAGACTGATGCAATTAAAACGAGCACCGAAGCGCAGAGAAGGGAGGGGACGGCGGCCCCGGCCGGGCACCGAGTGCGGGCCGTGGGCGCTCTGGCGGGTGGCGCTGGGCCTGGCAGGAGGCGCCACGCTGGTCTCAACCAGAAGAGTTTACCTTGGGGATGCCAGCTCCCGTTTGTTGACAAGTTTGCCTGTTGCAAAATCAGGATGGGGGTGAAGTTTCTCAAAGGGGGTGGATTGAATTTCCTGGGATTGACTCAGACTCAAGGTCAACAAACTCCCTCAGCCCAGAGCTTCGGAGGGAAGGACGATCGCAAGCCCCGGGGATGGGGATGGGTTCCAGCGGAGAGGCGGCACCCCGCGATTAGGCAGCAGGAGGGGCAGCGAGGGGGGCGCTTCAGACGAGGGGGGGCGCTTCAGACGAGAGGGGGCGCTTCAGACGAGGGGGGGCGCTTCAGACGAGGGGGGGCGCTTCAGACGAGGGGGGGCCGAGAGCACTTCCGCCTGGCCTCCATCCTTCACCAGTCTCCCCGGCGGGCTAATGCCTTTGAAATGTCGGGGCTCTTTCCGTCTCCACTGGGACACGTTAACCCTAAAAGCAACCCAGCGACCTCAGTGCTCCCCGAACTCTCCGTTTCGGATGGGCTGCAGCTGCGCCCTGTGGCACAGGGTCAGTGTCTGCTCAGGGGACACCTGCCGCACCCGGGGCCTAGGGTCCCACTTAGCAAACCCGGGCCTGAACTTGCAGAGGAGAAGGGACAACACCGGTTTGTACGGCTGTATGGCACCGGGTTTCTCCACGGGGGGGCTCGGGACCACCTCCTTCAGGATCACCTGGGGGTGTTTGTTTAAAATGCAGTTTCTGGGCCGCGCCCCGGACTTACTGGAACAGAATCACGTACAATTACAGACGGAGCAGAGCCAGTGTATGGCCTCCAGCCTGTCTTTGCATCTGCTGAAGACGCTCACGGGCATTGTCTGTACTTAACGTGAGCTCACGGTCACCCTCCCGGGGTGGCTAAGGCCCATGGGCTGTGCATTCCTGACTCGTGAAAGGACCGCGTCTAAGCAGGGGAGGCCGGACCCAAACCCAGCTCCTGGGACTCCGTCCAGTGCGTTTCCCATGGCACGTCTGGAAGCCTGTGCCCAGCCGTCTCGCGCCTCCCAGCTCCTCTGCCAGTCTGCCTGGGCACCCGGCAGGGCCCCCTCTTGGGCCCACACCCCAGGTCTGACAGGGAAGGCAGGTCCCTAGTCCTGGAGGTCTCTTTGGCGGACAAGACGAGGGAATGACTTGACTGCCAGAGAGGGGCCGTCACAGTCCTGTCCCTTCAACGTGATTAGACCATCAGGTTCGTTCCCCAGCGATGACCATGGGGGTGCAGATAACAGAACGTCAGGTGACATTCACTGGTCTACTGTGGTGTGCGGGGTTTGTGCTGAGCCTTCTGCATATTTTCTCTCACTTAAACCTCACAACAGCCCTGAGCGGAGCTATTAGATTATTACCATTTGGAGACGAGGACCCTGGGGCTCAGGTGAACGAACCAACTTGAGAAAGTCCCACAGAGAGTGGGATGCAGCTGCCGCCGGGCAAAAGCTCAGCCGCTTTGAATCTGGGCCTGAATTTTTAGCCACTCTGCAGGGAAGCCTGAGTGACTCAGGGTGGGGTGAGGCCACTAGGACAGGGTGCTGGGGTGGGGGGTCCCAGCTGAGCACTGGCTGGCGGGTGAGGCCGGGAAGGTGCTCAGCGAGGGAGGCTCTGGAGGGGACTCGGGCAGGCAGTGGGCCGGAGCTGGTGAGAGCTTTGCTTCTGGTAAGTTACCAGTTTCCTTTTATAACTGGCATGGCGACTAATAAAAGAGCCAAGAGACTAAGTGAGGAGCCACAGGGGCAGGTGGTGAGTGGGGCCCCAGGCCTGGCTCCCCCACCATTGACTGAGAGGGGGCCGGGGCTTAGTAAGCTGTCCCCACGGGACACACGGGGTACATTTGTGGGAAGCCACCACTGAACTGTTTCATAAATATTTGGAATTTCATAAAGCTCAATATTTTTCCAAGCCCCAATCCACCTAGAGTTTTACACCCAAGCGTTCGTCCCGTCTAGGACATTTGATCCACACATTTGGGAGCTCTTTAAACCCTAGCCATTTAAAGTGACATTTAGCAATTTAAACTCCAAGACCTCTTTTTCCTAATGTGTCAGTTTGGCAGTCCACCCCTACTGAGTCAAGTTCGCGTGGCAAACTTTTTATTTTTTATTTTTCTGTTAATTCTCACTTGAGGGTATTTCTTTCCATTGATTTTCAAAAAGAGTGGAAAGGAGAGGAAGAGAGAGAGAGAGAGAAACATTAATGTAAGAGAGACACATGGATGGGTTGCCTCCCACATGCACTCCGACCGGGGCTGGGGACTGAACCTGCCACCCAGTTACATGCCCTTGTCGGGAATCGAACCCACAACCCTTTGGTGTGCAGGCTGACGCACTAACCACTGAGCCACGTGGCAAAATTTAAAATTCAGCTTAATAATACCATTTACCTTCAGGTAGCACTTTGAGACTAGAAGGACTTCACATGCTGTGCGTTCAGCTCAGCAAAAAAAAAATTTTTTTTAAATCCCCCAATTTATTCCTTCCTTCTATTCAGCATTTACCGAAAATTTGCAAGAAGGGAAACTGTGTCTGGGGAGATTAGAGTCCATTTGTGAGAACCAAAGCACACTGGGGATGTGCCGATTCTGAACTGAATGAACATCTACTGATAATCACCCTCTGCCTCGCTAGTCCCCAGGGGACAAGGGCTGAGAGAGCAGACGTGATGGGGACACAGGGCGATTTCTATGACAGCAAGCGCCCCATTTGAAGGGAGCAGCCGTATGAAACTGGAAATCAGTGGCCCACTATTTAGAAATAAAACAGGAGTTCTCACATTTCCAGGCTTCAAAATTTCTAATTTGTGTTCAGTCGCATTAATGGGGCAATGAAACGAAACCTAGGAAACATAGGGAAGCGAGTCAAGTCACGGGGTCATTTCGGTACAGCTGATGCCTGGAGAGCAAAGCGCGATGGCCCCGGGCTCCTACGTGTGCGTTGTCACCCCGAAAGCAAAGGAGGCCCATCTCTTCCTGGCTCGTTCAGGCGAGAAACGTGAGCAAGGAGACATACAAACAAAACATCAACCGCACAAAAACAGCCCCACCCCAGCGAGCAAACAAAACGCCACCAAATCTGCTCTCTGCTGCTTTTGTTTTGAGGTGGCTGCAGAATCCTGAGAAGGGTTTGGACTTTTTTATTCTGGAGTAAGAGAATCATGGGCTGAAGTGGGATTCGAGAGGCTCTAGTCTGTCTCCAGAAAAGCTTTTATCCTAAGTGTCCCAGAGAAAGAATCTCTCTCTCTCTCTCTATATATAAACCATCTGTAGCTTTTTTTCCCCACCTGGGAAGGTTGTTGCCCCTTACAGCTGTGATTTCCAAGCTGTGGGCCTCCCTCTGGGCCGGGGAGTGGGGCACGGGAGCTAACGTAAGGGATCTAAAAATCCACTGGCAAAGCAGGTGCCTCTTCCTGCTACAGCTACTGCTACTACTGCTATGAATAATAACTGCCACTTATTTGTGCTTAATAGGTGCTAAGCATATTGAAAAATTTACATAGATATTATTTAATCCTCAAAACCCCACGAGGGAAGCAGTTACTTCCAGTGTTATTCCCCGACGGTAAAATGGGGAGGCGGAGGTGCAGACTCAGGTTGTCTGGTTTGCTCAGGAGCATCGGACCTGCTGCTTCCACTATTTCTGTGGCTGCTTCCCCGGCTTCCCACGCAGGGCTCGGGTTTGTCTCCTCATGCAGGGCTGGGGAACGTCCGGCCCACGGGCTGTAAGCGGCCCTCAAAATCATTGGGTCTGGCCCTACCAAGACAACCGCAGGTGGGCCTCGAAATTCAATAAATCTAGGAGCTTTTTTCATAGCTAATTTTTAAGTTGATAATTTTGTATGGCCTGGGAATGATGTTATAAATATCCAATTAGCCCTTGGCAGAAAAAAGGTTCCCCACCCCTGCGTGGCTTGGTGGGAAACATAGGCCCAGGGCAGAAAACATGGGTGTGTGGGAGGGTGAACAAACTCCACCGGGTGGCCAGCGATCACGGAAGCTAACGGTGGGCAGGCGCCCTGGGCGCAGGGACGGCGCGGGGCTCACCTGTGGCGGCAGTGGGCCGCGGTCAGCACCCACTGTCGGTGGATCAGAACCCCTCCGCAAATGTGGTCACCGGCATACTGGAGGGAAGCCATAAACGGCCTGGAATGAGGTGTCACCTCTCTCCCTCCGATGACCTCCGTGCTGAAACCTGTGAGAGAAACCAAAAGATTGAACACAGAGGATCCAACAGATGATTTCATGTAATTCTCCTTTTTACGGGCACTAAATCATTTTCAAAGATTAAAAAACACACCCAGTCACCTGGCAGTTATGATTGTACTTAACAATTGTACATAATTGTAGATGAACAATTGGGTATAATTGCACACGAACAACTGTATAATACGTTACAGTTTAGAAACATAGGCACTTTTGTGAAAAATCATCACAGTTACAATGTAACAATACAATCACTAGAAACCCATTTCACGCCTGCATGGGGTAGGTACAGGGGATACTTACACTTGGGAGTCAGATAAGCCCCGGCTATTAGGAAAAACAGAGAAAACGTGGTCATTTTTGTCGCTTCGATTTGAGGGCCCCAGATGAAGCGCTCTGACTGTTTAGGTGAAGGAAGAAGGTTCTGAAAAGGAGGTTTCAGTCTTGCAGGCTTTAACTCGCTCACCACAAGTCTTCTAGGGGGAAGAGTTTTCACACCTACATTTAGGGGGGTGTATCTGTTTGGGGCATTTCAGATCTCTGCTTTTAGCACTTTTTGGGGAGTTACATGTGCAATAAAGAATTCGATTCCAGACTGAACCACCTTCAATATTTGCATGAGTACTCATGTTATAAATGGTGAAGGAATAAAAAACATCCACCCCCTAAGACCTTAATAAAGCTGCAGAGAGTGTTCAAAGATGTTCATTGCCCTAAAGCAATGCTGACTATTTTTCCCGGCAGAAACGGTGCCTCTCCTAGTTAGCTTCTCCCTAGCTCGCATTTGGACATAGATTTATCATGAAGGGAGACACAGAACCTCGTACAAATCACGGTCCTGTTGCCACACGGCTTCGCCAGAGCCCAAACATCTTCCAGAAAAACCCATGTGCTTCGTAGCAAACTTGCCCCTAGTCCTGCCGTCTTCTCTAGATTTGACCGAATGCGGTTCAATTTCAGCTACATTTTTGGAAGATTTCATCATGTTACTAAAGGGGAACATTGGCACCATATTTTTAATTCCAAGTCTCTCTTTTACTCACTTTTAATTGCAAATGACCGTGTGTTTATCCAGGGCTTGAACGAGAATATCTTTTAAACATCAAGGACTTGTTCTGCCCCCACATCTTCCCCAGGAACGGATGGGAGCACGTCCCCGGGCCCCCTCCCTGCGAAAGGCGCCAGACCTCACAGGCCATGTGAGCCCGTTTTTCCTGGGCGCTGGGTGCCGTGCAGATGTTACAAAATCAGTACAAGCAAACAGATCAGGCACCAAGGACCGAATTACTTTTCCAAAACACTGACCAACTTGAATTAACAGATCTTACTTTCCTTTTTCTAAGATTTAAGTATCCTATTTTTTTTTTTTTGTAAAGGAGAATTGAAATTCAGGGCTATCGTGCTTGCCAGATTGCAAGAGACTCCCACCAAATTGTTTTCTAGCTTAAGACAGTGGGAATAATCAGTGTTATAGTTATTTATTATACATTATAAGTTACTAATATAAATACCTTATTTCCAAAATTCTTCTTACATGATCATTATATATTTTCGTGCCTGATGTCTGTGAGGAAGGAAGAGCAACGATTGCATCTGTTACAGATGAAGAAACAGGCTCAGGGAGGCTAAGCTATTTGCCTAACGCTGCACAGCATGCAACCTGGAGACCGAATCATTTCAACCTGACCTGAAATAACTTGTCTGCTAACAAATCCACAACCAGAGCACAGCATTTGAGAAAATATCCTGTTTTCACTTCACAGGGATGTGGCCACAGTGAAGGGTTCCTGCATATTAATGAAATAAGCAGAATTAGCAAAACTTCCTGCCGAGAGACCTGCGGGTGAGAAGAGGAGGAGCCTGATTAAGGAAAAGCACAAACTTAATAAACCAAACTTGTTAGTTGCAGCCAAATGAACCCTGTAATTTTCAAGTCATCTCTGTCTCTGTTGAGGCACCGCTTCCCCAAGCTGTGGGGGGGACAGAAGCTGCCTGGTCCTTGGCTTCCCAGGGATGTAGGTGGCGGGTGACAGGCGGAGGTGACATGAATGACCAGGGAGAAGTGGGCAGCGTGAAAGACAGAGCTGCATTTTTGGCGGGGCCGGCAGGG